CAAGGACATGGGGCCCCATGTGAAAACGACAGAAAAGGCCAGTCTGAGTTTTCCTCATTGTGTTGGTCTTGGGGCTCGGCCGTGCCTGTTGCTGACATGCCCTCCTGGGCTGATTCCGCTCTGAGCTGAGGAGCAATGGGGCGCTCATAGGGCCCACAGAGCCAGAGATATTGACTATCAAGCTCTTCCCCAAAAAAGTTTGCCGACCCCTGAAACGGGAGACTTCTGTAAAAACAGGAAGGGGGGGGAGGGGCGGAGGTACAGGAGGAGCTATGGCATATATTGGCTATATTAAAAGGTGATTGTTAGGATGGGTGAGTGCCCTGGAGGGGATTCTGACTACGGGGGACCCCCTGGGACATTGTAGAATTTCTGCAAAGGGTCTCTGTGGCGTGATCGTTCTCATTGTCAGGTCTTTCGCAGGCTGACAGCCTTGGAACGGCCTACGTTTAGAGTAGCAGGTGAGTGCTTATCTGCTGTGCCACCAGGACTCCTGTTAGGGGCTGATGCCTATCTTGAGTAAGGTGACCAGACGTCCTGATTTTTAACAATATTTTCCCATGTCCTGCGGCATTTTTAAAAAGTCCCAATTTTCGGAAAGAATGCACGACAAGCTAGGGTATACGGTTTTCAGCTGCCATGTGGCTATTTCACCAGGATGTGAGTTTTATCAATGGTGTCCCACTTTTGTCCCGCTTTACCAATGTTAAAATCTGGTCACCTTAATTCCTGAGGGAAGACAGATCTTGGTGGCTAATGGAAGCGCATGGAGGTCCCATACGGTATTTAGAAACTCTGGCAAATCGCCGCAGGCTTGAGGAGAGAGGGAGGAGCCTGGGTGGGGTACTGCTAACCACAGGGTCAGCAGATCCAAAGGACCAGTGGCAATTCAGGAGAAGGATTTACAGCCTCGAAAACACAAAGGGACAGTTTCACTGTTCTATAATGTCGCTGTGAGTTGAGTAGCCAGTTTGTCTTTGAGGAATGAAGATCTGAGGGAGGGGTATTAGAATGGGCACCAGGCATTCGAGGGCTAGGTCTGGCCCTGCAACCAATGAGCTGTGCGGTTGAGACTCCCTGGGCATCAGCATCCACTGCTGTCCTGTGGTTGTAATGTGCTGTGTGTGGGAAGACGGGGACATGGATGCAGTTGAATGATGAGCTGAAAGTGCTGTATAAATGGAAAAGTCAGCAATTCTAAGCAGGCACAAGGGTAATGCCTTTTAGGTATTAGGTAGATGCCACTCATCCATCAGCTTGCCATAAGGTGGTGGCTCGGGTGTTGCTATGATGCTGGAAGCTATGCCACTGGGATTTCCAATACCAGCTGGGTCCGTCATGGGGGACAGGTTTCAGCAAAGCTTCCAGACTAAGGCAGACTAGAAAGAAAGAAAAGCCTGACAGCACCTTCTCAAAACCGTGCAATGGAAGCCCTAGGATCACAGTAGGACACTGTCCGGCAGAGTGCTGGACGAAGAGCCCCCTACAGTGGGGAACACTCAAGATACACAGGGCCTTCCACAGAGGGCTCACGCACACCAGCCGTCAGGAAGATGGCACACCTCATTTAGGGGGGTCGCCAAGCATCACAGCCAACTCAATTGCAAGGAGCAGCAGAGCAGCTACCTGCATGTACCACGTGTTCAATTGTTCTAAAGCAAGTAGGAAGCCCAGGTTAGATGATGCAAACACCCTGGAACAGAAGTAGGTGCCTGATGTTGCAGGTGATGGAGGTGCTTCAACTGCCCGCGGAGATGAACCAGTTTCCCAAGCAGAGAGTGCTCTTCATTTCATAGCCAGGCTCTCCTACCCCCATTTCCTCCGGCACCAGGTGGGCCCAAGGCAGAGTGCCACCCCGTGGGCTTCCCTAGAGGCCTGGAAAAGTTCACACAGTTCTTCAGAGCACCTGGTCCCAGGCTGCATCTGCGGGGGGCATTTGACACTGGACAGGTCTGATGGAAGGGTATCTGAAAAGGTCTCAGATTCCAGTTGTGTGAGCAGGAACTAGGGGATGGCTCTCCCTGGAGTTGATAAAGGCTCACATCTCCCAATATGTCTCGGGGCTGGCAACATTTTTCTTTGACACCCACCCACATCCCTGGATATGAGGAAGAACTTGTCATGAGGCTGAACTACTCCAAATTGCTCATTTCTGGGAAGCTTTCTCCTGATGGGCCTGAACATGCAAGGAAGATAATTTGACCCGTTTGCCACAGCTCCTGGCAGGCCTGAACGCAGGGCCCGTCCATGAAAGTCTCAGGCTCAGGATTCAATTTCAGGACCTGTCATGTTGTCGGGAGAACTCGGAGCCATGTGGGAGATGGAATGGGTGCAGGGTTTCAAGGCAGTTAACAGGAGGGCATCGGATTTCATGGTAGCTCCTGCCCTCCCCTTGTTGGCTTGGGTTTTAGGTAGATGCCACCCCTCATGGCTCCCAACAGCACTTTTCTCTGTGTTTGCGACACAGTTTATGCCCCTGCAGCTCTGTAATTAATAATATACCGCTTTTCATCTTCAAAGTGATTTATATACATTAATTAATCCTCACCACACTTTAGCGTTTCTGCATGTAAAGAAGCACCATGCCCCCATTTTGTACTTAGGAAGCCAAAGCCGAGAGGCAAGCAGCTTTGCCACAGCTAAGGGGAAGGAGGCTGTGGGGCCAAGGTCAGCCCTCCAGCTTCAGACGCACCATCATGCTTCCTGGGCTCCTCAGTGCGGTCTCTAGACGGCCTCTATTTAGTTCCACGGTCTAGGCCATTCTGCTGAGGACACTAGCCTGTGGTGACATCCCTCATTCTGAGTCACCAACTATTCTTCAATATGCCAGGGTCAAAGCCTAATCATACCTAAAGCACACATAATTGGGAATGATGGATTATAAACTAATAAACCCATCTAAGATGCTCAGGTCCAGCTTCCAGACTGAAGATAAATATGTTTCCTAATCCATCATTTACAAGTTACACACTCGATTAAAACATTAAACTCTCACTCTGTAAGATCACCCTTACAGAAAGCTATTATATTTTAACTATCAAGCTCAATAAATCAGGCAGTAACCATCTATCTCCTTCATGTGAGTGGAGTTGGAGGCGCACTGGAGATGCTATTGGGAGAGGCAGGTGGTGTCTCAATTCCTATATCTGGGCTCCCCATGGTGTCCATGAACCCAGCAGATCATTAAACCTGAAAAGTGAGCACATGGAACCCTTTAGAAGTTTCTGACACAAAGCCAAATCATGCAAAGACCTCATGCCCAAAGGCACACTTAATTTGCATCCATTGAGCCCCCGGAACAGCTACCTGAGGAATAGCTGACAACCACCTCTAACAAAATAAGGGTTGACTCAAGTCATTGAGAGGGGCCAAGGATGCCCTTGGCCTTGCTTCCTGGGGCCAACCATCATTCATCAGAGAGCTAAGTAAGAAAAGGCCCAGCTTCTATGTTGGGCCCCTGTGGAGAGCTGGCTTTCCCCAGAGGACTTGGCAAAGCCCCAGCCCTGTAGGCATGTTGCCTTCTCTGGGGGGTAATTTTCCTTGGTTTTGGAGGGCATTCCTGGGAAATGTAACTGGTCAGGAATAGAACACCTTTTTCCTCTACTTCTCACAGTAAGCACAGGCATGTGATGGAAATGCACAGCAACATTTGGCATGTCTGGGTCTACTTTGGGCTGGGCCCCAGGTGTCTGGGCGTGGGCAGTCACTTCGCTCTGTGGGTAGGAAGGTTTGAATTATTGGACCAGTTCCTTGTCTGACAGGCATCGTGCCGATGGGGCTGCCTGAAGATAAAGCAAGAGTGGAAGCCATCATACTGAGGGAGGTGGGAAGGGTTTGTGTCGAAGAAGGGGCAGGCTAGCATGGTCAGAGTAGCTGCTCATTTTTCTCTGAAATGAGAGGGGTCTCAGCAGAAGGGCTAAGGACTACTTGGGAGTTGGCTTCCTCTGGACATTGTGAAATGGCACAGATGAACCGAGAAGGCTGGTCAGGGCTGCCCTGAAGCCAAGTCGAACCATCAAGTGTTTCAAAGAAGCTTCAGCAAACTTCACCATGGCCTGGCCTCTTCCTGGACCAGGAAGGCTGCCATTGGCAGGCTCCGTTGACAGAGCAGCAGGACTGGGGCTCTTTGTCGGGCCAGGAGCTGCAAGCGGAGTTTGGGTCTGGCCCAGAATGCTGATTTGCCTGTGGCACCCTGCCCCCAAGCCCTCAGCATCTGTTGCTTTCCATGGTTACATGGCTACACCCCACGAGTGCAACCCAACGTCACTGGCATGGGAATCAAGGGGCCTCAGCAACCTCACCAAGCCGCTACCCAGAGTCCTGCTCTGAGCCAGCAGGAGCGCAGCCGACATGAGAGGGAGACCTGACCCGATCCAGGAGCAAGAGGTGAGATGTAATTGAGACTGAAAGGACAGAGGCTAAGGAAGGATGTGGGCCAGGTCAACCGTATCAGGGCTCTTTGATTCTGCACAAAGACAGGGTTGTATGTTCTGGCCTCTCATGCCCATCCTGTGCCGGTGCCACTGCTCTGAGAATGAGCTCGCTGCTTGGCTTTCCCAGGGGTCAAGATGTTCCCAAGCCTGCCACCACTCTCCTTCTATTTGGTTTCTATTTGGCTGTAGTTTACCAGCGTTGCATGGATTCTGGAGCAAACACATGGGTTCAAATGCAATGATGGAGGAGGCAGACGGCTACTTTGGGAGTGAGGGATGGGTTTGCAGGCATGACAATTCCCAGCCCATCTCCAAGAAAGGATCCAGTCAGGATGCTTAATTTCAGTTCTGATAAATGTCATTTAGAATCCTGAAGGAGAAACTCATCAGATTTAAATGGATTTCAAGAGGAAAAAAATCACTCCCATCCATCACTCATTATTACTTCTTTCAGGAGCCAAGAAACAAATTGTACAAACAGCAGAGGGCCTCTGCATCCGCCAGCCCACGGCCCCGCCCCACCTTGTCGCCGCCCGGCTCCTCGGGCAGCACGTGGCCCTGACTTACCGATGAAATAGGCCAACAGGATAGCCAAGAGGAGGGCGGCGGCGATGGCGGACAGGGCGGCACATTTCCAGCTGCAGTATTTGGACGGCTTCTTCAGCTTGAAGGCCTTCCTGGAGAAGGTGTTCCGGGGCAGGAGGCGGGGTGGTGGGGTGTAAACTGTCCCTGAGGTCAGGGGGTACCCCGGAGAGGAGCTGCTGAACAGGGGAGTGCTTCCCGAGGACGTCTTAAAGAGGAAGTGCCTGCCAGGAAGAAAGGAGAGGGTCAGAGTGCCTTGGGGGTAGGGGGCTCAGGGGAATGTCTAGCTAGGATGCCCCCTCCCTCATTCTGATGGCTGTAGTCCTACAGAAGGGGCCCAGTGGCATGGTGACTACGCCTTCGGCTGCTGGGCAACAGGTGACTCCTTGGGAGAAAGGCCCAGCCAGCAGCTTTCATGCAGTTAGCAGCCAAGAAACCCTGTGGGCAGTTCTTTCGCTGACACGGGTCTGCTGGCAATCAGAGCAACCTGACTGTCTAGTCCTCTGGGTTCCTGGGAGTGTACACAGTTAGCACATGGTTGCCAACACAAGGCTGGAAGCTCGCACCCACCCAGCAGCACCTGGAAGAGAGGCTTGGTGATCTACGTCTGACAGTTATTGAAGAACCTTTGGAGCGCAGATCTACTCTGGAACATGGGGTGTGTGTGTGGGGGGTCACTGTAAGTTGGGATCAGCAGGAAGGCAACAGGTCTGTGTGATTCCTTCTTTCCCCCTTTCTGTTTTGTTTAACATCGTTCTAGAGCGACAGCCACACAGAGGAAGGCCCTCAAGGAGATGGACTGACACACTGACTGCAACATGGGCTCGAGCGTAAGAACTGTTGTGAGGATGGACCAGTCAGGGTTTCGTTCTGTTGTAAGTATACAACAACAACCCTTCTGGCATTGCCGTCGGTCAGAGCCTAGCAACAACAACAATTCCAGAGTTCCCTGGGAGGTAGACCTGAGTGCAGGCTATTCAGTGGCTTGGAAGGAAGGCATGCCAATCTACGCCTGAACAACCAGTCATTGAACTTGCCATGAGTCAGGAAAATCTTAAGGGCAACTGGTGTGGCGATTGGGGGGCACTGGTATTAAAAACTCACTGTCAATGAGTCGATGTTGACTCATCGCGACCCTATAGGATAGGGTGGATTTCTGAGACTATAGCTCTTTGTGTGAGTAGACAGTCTTTCTCCCAGGGCTTTAGTATAGTTCTACTTAATTAGTCCTACATAGACTGAAAAGGTACCATTATACTTGATGATGACATGTATTAATTCTATGAATTTGCATGGCTTATAGTTTCACCTATACATTGCATTCCCGGCAACCATCTCAGAAAGAAGGTATAAAAACGGGACCGCTGTAAATCTCTCAGAGGCGATGACGATGATGGTGATGGTAGCTCTCATGTGTGGTCGCGGCTAGTGGCTGTCAAGTTAGTCCCCATGCATGCCGACCCAATGCACAATAGAACAAAATGCTGCCTGGTATTCACTGGCTGTTCTTTGAAGGAGGGTCCCAGGTCTTGCTACTCTCCTAGTCTGGCAGCTTCGCTGATACAGAAACCTCTTCTGTATCACAGTGATGTGCAAGCTCTGTGTGAAGGGCACTGGCTGGAAATGGAGCCTGGGTGTTTTGTAGGAAGGCGCCCATTGTACCATTGAATCACTACTACATTAGTGAACTATGTGAGAGAAACCCAACACATGCTGTCACACCTAGTTATGAACTCACAATTTTTTAATCTCTCCGCTTTAGGTATGAGGAGTCAGGTTTAGCGAAGTCAAAGATTTAACCCAGCGATCTATAAGAATCTGTGCTCTTCAACGATATCTTTAACTGCCTCTCCGGTTCCTGTGCTGGGCTCATCGCTCCATCCCATTTCTATTCTGAGATGGTCTACATCATGGGATCATGGTTCTTTTTTGGAAATATCTTCACCTACCAATTGAGCAAGGAGCTCGTGGGAGCCCCAGGGATGGTGTAAAAACAAGGTAATAGGTTGGCTGATGACACCTCAGAGGATGTAACCTTTTATCAGGGGTCAGGGAATTCTCCCCCCAAGGATACTTCAAGGACGAGCAATTCTCTTGCTGACAATTGATTTATCCTCTCTCTTATGTGTGCCTTTTATGACTTCAAAAGTGACTTGCCATATGTTATTTGAATCGATGACTAGTCTCCAGGAAATATGAGTGTGTTAGAGGATTTTTAAGGTGAGGGCTAGTTTATAGTCTAGAGTCTGGAGATCAGGAGTTTCACCTTGTTTTGTTCCTTGTTCATCTTTATGGTTCCTGTAGCGAAGTAAAAGCCTCCTCTGTGTGTGTGTGTGTGTGTGTGTGTGTAGCAGGGTGGGGGAGGGAAGTGAAAGTTTGAGTGAATGAACGAGTGGAACTCACTTATTGTTTTGTGATTTTACAATGTTTTAAACATCTTAAATGCCATATCATTGTTTTCTCACTCTCTTCTGGTCTTCAATACACTTACGTATTGCTATGTATTGATCACATCTGATTACCATGCTAAATGTTTTACTTGCAATTAAAACTCCTATCAACTCTTTCAAGAGGGCATGATTACTCTCCCTGATTTGCAGTTGAGAAAGGTGAAGCTGAGAGTCAGCTAGCAGAATGTCTGGAATTAAAGCTCCATTTTTCCTGATTTGAAAATCTCTATAACGGTGACACCACACTGCACCTGCATTGGGGATTCACAGACTTTCTTGGGGATTAGACACATTTGGCCATTTGTTTTTTAAAAACAAAACCCTTGAAATATTTCAATGTTTGATAAAAATCAAATGATCCCAGTATGGCGTATTATCATAAGGAAGCTCTTTGACAAGGGATCCACCTGAATCAGAGACCTAGTAGGACTCCTCCTGCAGGAGTCAGCCTGCTTAAGTTACTCAGCGTTGCTCTGCAGAACCCTCATGTGCACATTTGTACAGTGAGATTAATGAGAGCACAGGTACCTCATATCTGCTTGGCATAAGGATTACCTAGGATCATGTAGACAAAGTGCTTAGCCAAAGGTATGTGTCATAATACACTCTCACTACATTGAGAGTAGTTTTTGTTATTAATTCTTCAGAACAGCATAAGGAATCTGAAACATGCGTTCCAATTTAGGCTTGACAAATGTCAAATAAACACCTGAAAAATACTTCAAATCACAAAATCACAGTCAACTGCCTATAATTAAGCTGGAACATATGTATACCAGAAAGCCAGGGTGGGAGAGAACTGTGCGATATCATTTAGAGCTACTTAAAATTTATCTCATGAGCAATTCACCAGGAGTGGGTCGTAAAATAGCAAATCAAACTAAAACAAAGGAATATAAAGACACTGCTAGGAGTCATCAGTGCAAACTTATACATATGCAAGACCCAGTTCTCACTCGGCATGGATGCTCGCCACCTACAGCCCTGGCTTCAGCCATCGCCAATTCTGCGTGAATCTCTGGAGCTCCGGTTCTGGCCTGACTTCTTCCTTGAGTGCCAGACTCAGCTTGCTGTGGTGAATTGGACATGCCCTGCCCTCCCTGAGGACACACCCAGAACTGTGTGTGCCAAAGGTTGTTTGCGCCTCTGCCTTTCCCTCACCTCGTCCTATTCAGCTCTGAGACCCACCCCAACTAATCTGCCCCATCTGTTCTCATTCCATTTTTCTTTCCAGGTCACAAATGCCATTGCCCCTTGACTTCCAAATCCCTAGTGATCCGTGGCTGCTTAACAGGAAAACAACGCCGGTCTCTGTGTGGGGTAGGCTCCCTTCCACGGCCACTCCCTCACTATTCATTCACATTGCCAACCTTGGCCTCCTGGCTCTTAGGTGTGCTATTCTTTGGCCACCTCAAGGTGCATCATCTTTCCTTCACACACAGGCTCATGTCACCGTATCTTTGTGGAAGCGGGGATGTGCTCCCTGCGTGGCTTTCCTGCCTTCTCTGCCTATGGTAGCGCAGTCAACTCCCACTCGCCTTCCAGCCAGTCCCAGAACCCTATTGCACCATCATAGTCTTTCCTTGGTATACTCAAGAATCTATTTAGATACTAGGTCAAATGCATTGCATGTATTTGTGGTGTGGTGTGTGTTTCTCTGTGTCTGTGCCAAACCAGACTGTGAACACCTGTGTACTTGAAATAGCTAGCTAGTACTTTCAGTCTCTCTGGAGTCTAGACCGGTGCCTGGCCATGAGGCAACTCAGCAGACAGAATAAGTAACCTTAAGAACAGCAGAGCTTCAGCAGCTAGAGAGAAATCACAGATGCTGATTGAGAAGCTTAATCGACTTGAGGGTTATTTTTAATATTCACATTTAATATACTCCTAGACTTAAAAAAGAAAAATAGAAAAAATAAGATTATTATATCTCATTATAGGATTGCTGCACTCAGTTCTTAAATGGTCCCCTTGACAGTTCACTCTATCTTCCACACTTCCTCCTACGAAGGAAGCCAGGGCATGTCACTCACTTTCTAATCAACCACTGTGTCCCCATGCCCTCCAGAACCTTCCAATGACACCTGGAATACATTCAAAATTCCTCCCAGAGCCTACACCACTCTGTATGATCTGGCTTCAGGCACCTCTCCAATTACATCTGAGACCGCCTGTATCCTACCTCCTTCCATGCATCACAGGGTCCTTTCACTGTTTCTTACCACCACCACTTCCACCACAGGCTGCCTCACGGCCTTTGCACTTGCTATTTCCTTTGTTGAGGAGATCTGCATGGCTTGCTCCTTTACATCATTATATTACATCCTTTACATCATTCACCACCAATTCTACTTTCTCAGAAAGGTCTTCCCTGGCCCATACAGTAATGTAGCACCCTTTTATCTGTTACCCTCTACTCTGTTAAAACGGCTTATTTTTCTTCATTATACACATACTTGTAAATGCATTATTTGTATACTTATTGTCTGTATCCACCATTAGATCTGAATTTTCATGTTTTTCTCAAAACTCTATTCTTAGTGTGTCAGATACATGTTGGTACCTAGGCTGTACTACACACAACTTTGTTAACTGACCAACCTACAGTCTGTTCCATTGCTAAAACCACCAATGCTAAAAGGCCTGAAAACAAATTGCATTTGTAAGTAGAGCTCTTCTGCTAGGCTGACTGCTACTGTCCAAACAGATTTACAAGTTTGTATAGATGCACAGAGACAAATGCCCATAGGTCTTCAGACAGCCCAGATCCCTCC